AATAAATTCTATTTCTACTAAACACACAGCCTCTTCACACATATTGGTTGTTTCAACTAAACACAAGCTATGATGTCCTCCCTCTTTCTCATTCCCAATTCAATGCTTTTGATCACTACTTCTTCCACATCCTAATTTCACTTTTTCTTCAAGGTCCAGCTAAAATCCCCATTTGCAATTTATCCCCAGTAAATTACAAAATACTGATGAAAGAAATTATTTCCATCTTGGAAATATCTTCCAAGATATTTGTCCAACCTACTGTTCTCTCTCCCAATAGTATCATTTATTCACTCTATATTGGGAAGCTTCTCTGTGCCAGGCCATGTTCCAAAAGCTGGGGATGCAGAAGTAAATGAGACCCTGTCTCTATCCTCAAACACAGTGCTGGATTAACCAAAAGGCAGATTAGACACATAGCTAGGATACACACTTATGGAGTGAAAATTATTTGAAAAAATAATTACTCCCAAAGGTAATAAACTCACATTTCACTTTAGCATTTCTTTTATTTTAAAGTATATTTTGGGAAGTATCCTCATAATCTTTTCAGTGCTAGTTTCTGAAGGTCTTTATCTAGTCCTGCCAGTGTAGTGGGGAAAATCTTTGTATTCAAGAAAGAGCACTATTGGCCACATAAAAGAATGGTTTGGAGGGGACAGCTGGGTGTGTAACTGGAGACCAACCAGTTAGAAGGCTGTGATGCAAAGGAAGACAATGGTAACCTGAGCTGAAGTATAGTAGGAGTTGAAAGATGTGGGGAAAAAAGAGAAATGAAGCAGAGAGAATTGATCACAGTCAGTGATTAGATGTGTAGGATAAAGAAGAGGGAGTTAATGAGGATAGTTCCTGTTTTCCGGGTTGAAAGACTATGTACATGATGGTGCTACTCATTAGGAGAATAAGAAGGGAAGATTGAGGTTTGAGTAAAAGAACTGCAAAGGTTTGGGGGCCCCTGGGTGGCTCAGTGGGTTAAGCCTCTGCCTTTGGCTCAGGTCATGATCTCAGGGTCCTGGGATCGAGCCCCACGTCGGGCTCTCTGCTCAGCAGGGAGCCTGCTTCCCCCTCTCTCTCTGCCTGCCTCTCTACTTGTGATCTCTGTCAAATTAAAAAAAAAAAAAACACAAAAAACAAAAAACTGCAGAGGTTTAGTTTGGAATTTCCAAATGTAAATGCCCACTTGGCAGTTAGATATCAGGTATGAAAATCAGGGAAGAAACAGGCTACAGTTACTATTTTATGGATCACCAGTAGACAAATGGTAACTGAAGCTTTTGAAGACAACAAGAATCCAGGGAAAATGGAGAGAATGAAAAAACTTGTTCAAAGATTATGAGCTGGGTGGTTTAATACAACTAATAATAATAACAGTTAATTATAATAATAACAGTTAACACTTAATGTGAGACTTGGTACTATTCTAAACACTTTCCTCACATAATCTTTAAAAAAAAAAAAATCCTTTGGGTGGCTCAGTAGGTTGGGTGTCTGACTCATGATTCTGGCTTGGGTTGTGATCTAGGGGTTGTGGGATCAGCTCCGCATCCAGGAGGCTGCTTGGGATTTTCTCTCCTCTCCCACTGCCCCTCCTCGCACTCCCACTCTCTAAAATAAATTAAAAAAAAAAAAAAAAAGACCCTTTGGACTTGGGCACTATTATTATTATTTTTTTTTTAAAGATTTTTTATTTATTTGTCAGAGAGAGAGAGGGAGAGAGAACGAGCACAGGCAGACAGAATGGCAGGCAGAGGCAGAGGCAGAGGGAGAAGCAGGTTCCCCGCCGAGCAAGGAGCCCGATGTGGGACTCGATCCCAGGACGCTGGGATCATGACCTGAGCCGAAGGCAGCTGCTTAACCAACTGAGCCACCCAGGCATCCCCTTAGGCACTATTATTATTATGCCATTACGTAATTAAAAAAAAAACAAGGCAGAGTGCAGTCAAAGGATTTGCTTAAATTACACATTTAGTGGAGTGGTGAAACAAAGATTTGAAGATAGGTAGTCTGACCTCAGAACTTTGCTCTCATTCTATATAAACCTCAAAGCAGCTCTGGAAGGCAGGCACTTTCATCTCTACAAATTTAAAGTGAGGCTGAGAAGTTGCCCATACCCATTTATACCTGTTATAAGCAGGGACTTAATTTCCCTCATTATCTTTTACGATGCCCAGCCTAATACTATATATCTGTTTACAAATAGTATTACTACTAACACTTCTAATAAGCACACTGAAGGGTTAGCTCCCATTCACCTTCCACAAGTGACTTGAGGGTGTACCACAACATAAAGTATAAACTAAAGCGGGAGGGGGCAGACCCGGGTACATCAAATAGTGAATCCTACCCCAGAGAAGGGTAAAAGGGAAGTCCCAGGACAAAAGTCTTGTAACGGACAGTAAGGTCAGAAATAGTGGTCCTTGTGCGGAAAACTTTTGAAATCCAAAAATTAATACAACTGAAAGCTTAGAGAACTTGGAAATATGATAAAGGAATACAGTAAATGTAGAAAACATGTTATCTTAAATTGCCTCTAGTACTGTTCTTCAGTGAGGGGAAGAGGGTCACAATATTGTTGCCCGAGAGAAGGAAATGTTATCCCAGCAGCCCATAGTTTTGTAGTATACTTTCAACATAGGAATAATTAAAGTACCTCTTATTACTGTATTTTGTTGATTGTGATACTTTTCCCCCCAAATTTAAACACTTCTCAATAGGATGCATCTTACAATCAATGGTGTGTCATGGTTTAACTAGTTGTTTTTCTTTCCGAGTAGTATATAAAATACTGTTTCATCTTTCAATCAACAGCATGTTGGATTTGATCAACTGTATCAGGCACGGCTTTAAATACTGTATACGATACCCTTTCTCATTTAATCTCTGTAAGTTTTATGCAGCTGTTTTATTATTACCATTTTTGCAAATAAGGAAACTCAGGCTTAAGGACTAAATAAGATGCTTAAGGACAGAAATCAATTAAGTGGCAAAGCTAGAATTGAAAACCAGGTCTGATTTCAAAGGTCATGCTCTTCTTGACAGATGGTAGCTACATTTGTGGTGAGTATAGTTTAACAGAGTTGTGGAATCATACCTTGTGCACCTGAAACTAATGTAACATTGTGTTGTCAACTGTACTTCAATTAAAAAAAAAAAAAAGACAGACATGCTCTTTTTGTGCTTCAATATTTACCATGAGTGATAAAAACCTACCCTATCGTAACTTTTTAGTCATATTATGATCTAGCTCAAATGTGAAGCCTTCCCCAACTCCTCCAAGAACCAATTTTGCCCTCATCTAATGCTCCCATAACATTAGGAATACCCTGATTATACCTTATTATGTAATGTATAACATTCAAGGAGAACCTTGAAAGTCAGAAATAGTATTTTAGTCACCCTCTTTGACATTACAGTATCTATCACTGTGGCTGACACAGAAGAAATTCACTATTTTTTTTAAAGATTTTATTTATTTATTTGACAGAGAGAGAGATCACAAGTAGGCAGAGAGGCAGGCAGAGAGGGAGGAGGAAGCAGGCTCCCTGCAGAGCTGAGAGCCGGATATAGGGCTCGATCCCAGGACCCTGAGATCATGACCTAAGCCAAAGGCAGAGGCTTAACCCACTGAGCCGCCCAGGTGCCCCAGAAGAAATTCACTATTAAAAAGAGACAGACTGGGGCGCTAAGCCACTACATTAGACTCAGGTCATGATCCCAGGATCCTGGGATCAAGTCCTGTATCGGGCTTCTTGCTCAGCGGGGAGCCTGCTTCTCTCTCTGCCTCTGCCTGCCACTCTGCGTGCCTGCGCTCTCTGACAAATAAATAAATAAAATCTTTAAAAAAAAAAAAAAAAAAAAAGAAAAGAAAAGAGAGACGGGCTCTCTGCTGCTAAGTCTTAGAGACAAAAAATGCACATAGAACTAAAAGGCCTTGTAAAACACACACACACACAGAGAAGCGTTATAAAAGAACTCTAAGTACACTGGAGTTTAAGAGAAAAGAACCAATGATAGAAAGTACAAGTCAAGGGAAGACACTTGGCCAGCTTCCAAATTTTCATAAACACAAATACACCGACACAAACACAATCAGCCTAAAAAGCTGAAAACCTCTACACAGGCTGAAACCAAGCTTCTAAGACATTTCCTTTAACCTATGCGGCATTTAAAAACTTGAATGAGTTACCAGCATTTATCAATTCTTTCACGTAAAAACAGGATTTTTGGATTTTCCTGGAAAATGGGAAGATCACGAAAACTGGGTGCTCCTTCTCCCAGGGAAACTGCCTGGATACGCGTACCACCTGCTATTTTCGAATAAAATCACCGCTCCCTTACACGCTAGTACCTCCCACCGTTTCCTTCTGTCCAGCCTGCGTAGGATCACTTACACGCAACCACTGGAGGCATTTGAGTTCATGACCCGTCCTCCAGACACATCACTCACGGCCCCGCTACACACCGCGTATTCTCCAGCACCCACGTGTCTCTGCGCGCCGCCCCCGCCAAGCACTCCTACTACTCTAAGCACTGCTTCGACTTCTTCAACAGATTTCTCCGACCACCGCGTCAACTGGGTCACCGCAGCGCTCTGGCCATACCGCTATTAAAACCCTAACCACACCATATGTACAAGTTTCTCTCCTTCGCTAGGGCGGAAGTTCCTTGGAGCCCGCAGCCACGACTGATTACGGCGTCCCCAGGTCCAAATCCGTGGCCTTGCCTCTGACGGGGGCGTTCAGTAAACTACCTAAACGGTTTCAGAGGTAGGGCTGAAGCAGAAGCGCAGCCGAGTGCACCCAAGTGGATTCCCGCCGAGATGTGAGCGCCCAGCAGCCTCCACAGCAAGCGCCACCAGGCGAAGTCCCATCATCCCACTTCCGTCGCGGAAGCGCCTGTCCCAGCTCTCGCGAGATTCGGTCTGAGCCCCAGCCCCCAGGCCCGCTGGGTTCTCGCCAGATTCGCTGGGCCACGCTTCTCTCCGGAAGTAGCCCCTCCGGCGCTGTACCCCGGAAGCGGAAGTGTGACTCTAGTCTGTCAGAGAGTGTTGCTCGGTGGCCCAGAAATCCAGGGAAAGTCGTTGTCGTTTAATTTTTGCAGGCTCTCGAGCGCTTCCCCCCTGGCGGGTGGGAGTGCAGAGAGTTGAAAGTGCGAGATGAGCACCATGTTCGCGGACACACTGCTCATCGTTTTCATTTCCGTGTGCACGGCTCTCCTCGCCGAGGGTGAGAGCGGCTGCTTCTCTGACGTTTGATCAGCCCCCACGAGAAGGATCCTGGGCCTGGGGACCCTCGCGCCACCGAGGGAGTGGTCGCGAGCCTTGCTTGCTTGGGGTTGAGCCGGGGGGCGCTCGGGAGCAGGAGCGGGTGGGGGGCACCGTGGAATTCGGTTTGGGGTCGATTTCGCTTGCGTATTTGTGGAGACACCTTCCTATCAGGTCTCCGTTATTTTGGTTGAAGAGTCCGTTGTCTTAACATTTGGGAAAAAGGTAACTGCTGGTGAATATAAAGCAAAAAGTTGAAATCCCTCCTTACCCAGCCATCACCACCAGTAAGTTTGCTGTGACCTTTACAGACATTTTTCTATTAGCATGCTGCTTTTGATGTTTCAGGTATAACCTGGGTCCTGGTTTACAGGACGGACAAGTACAAGAGACTGAAAGCGGAGGTGGAAAAACAGAGTAAAAAACGTGAGTATGGCAACATCCTTCAGATACAGTTTCAACACATCAGGTTCATTGAATGCATGTATACAGTAAATGTTTTAGCACCAACTGATGGAAAAACTTTATGGGAATTTGAATCGGATATGTAGAGTTATATGCAGTGTTGGATAATTTTATGCAAAATGCATAATACAAATGGCAGTGGAGCAAGGGACACGAGTAGTACTAGTTATGTGCTGTGGTGGTTCTAAAGAAGAGATCCCATTCAGTTGTGAGGGGCCGTGGAAGTGTTTGTGATGCAGATGGCCTGGTGGTCCTTCTTGGATAGTTAGAATTTGGGTAGAGAATGAGCTGGGGGTAGGAATTCCAGGTGAAGAAAATAGGATATGTGCAAAAATATGGAAATCGTAGTGAGAAGATGTGTTTGGAGAACAACAGGTCATTATGGTTAGTATCCAGGTGACCGGTGTCTTCAGGGATGAAGCAAATTTCTGTGTGAGGTGGCTGAAGGAGAGTTTGAATAAAAGGTTAAGAACAGGTCCAGTTTGTGGTTTTGAGTGAAGCAGGAACTCCACAGGACACAGCTGAGGGGGCTGCTGGGGGTATAATGTGAATGGTTCTTCCTAGGCTCGGTGTGGCTTTCAGTGTTCTTTTCTGCCTTATAAAGATTAAATATAACTTTTGTATATTAAAATTCCTCTGACTTTCTGTATTTTGTGACATGTCTTTATGTCTTTGTAAGGGTTCAAAGTTTTCTTGCTTACAGTATCTCACTTGATCCACATAGCGACCATTTGTGATTAGTAGTATAAATAAGAGCACCAACTGATGCAAAAACTTTGTAGGAATAGAGATGAATCCGATTTGAATCTACGTTACGTAGAGTTATATGCAGCGTTGGATATTTTTATGCAAAATGCATGATACAAATGGCAGTGGAGCAAGGGACACGAGAAGTACTAGTTATGTGCTGTGGTGGTTCCAAAGAAGAGATCCCATTCAGTTGTGAGGGGCCGTGGAAGCCCCATGTGTGGATAAATCACCTCAACATATTAAAATCCAAGCTCGTTATCTTCACCTTCACAAACATGATCCTCCTCCGGTATTTCTCTACCTGACGAATAGTACCTCCATGCTTCTCACAGTGCAAGCCGGAAACCCTGATGCACTTTCTCACTTGGCTTTCAGGATGCCACACTCTCTTGGTTTTACTCTTACCTTGCAGGTTTTTTTTTTTTTTTTTTTAGAGAAAGTGTTGGGGAAAGGCAGAGGGAGCTCGAGAAAGAATCTTAAGCAGGCTCCATGCCCAGCGTAAGGCCTGAGGTGGGTCTTGATCCCTCCGCTCTGACCTGAGCTGAAATCAAGAGTCAGACTCTTAACTGACTGAGCAACCCAGACGCCCCTTGCCCATCATCCTTTTGCTGTTTCCTTGTTGGTTCCTCTTCTCAACCTCTTGTTGGGCACCCCAAATTTGTTTTTATCCCCCTACGCTCACTCTCTTAGTGAATTCAGCCATGTACTCTATTTGGCAGTGGCTCCCAAATTTATATCCCTAGCACTCTCTCCTTAATGCAAGATCCATATATCCTGGTAATAACATTGTATTACCAGGATATATGTATGGTAGCTACACTTGTGGTGAGCATAGCATAATGTGTAGAGGAGTTGAATCACTATGTTGTACTCCTGAAATTAATATTGTGTGTCAACTATGCTCAAATAAAGATTCACGTATCAATTTGTCAGTTATACTGTAATGTTGAATATACATTTCAAACCCAGCATGTCCAAATTGAATACTTTATCCTCACTTAAGACTGCTTTATTTGGGGGTGCCTGGGTGGCTCAGTGGGTTAAGTCTCTGCCTTCGGCTCAGGTCCTGGTCTCAGGTTCCTGGGATTGAGCCCCGTGTTGGGCTCTTTGCTCAGCAGGGAGCCTGCTTCCTCCTCTCTCTCTTCCTGCTTGTAGTCTCTCATTCTGTCAACTAAATAAATAAAATCTTAAAAAAAAAAAAAAAGACTGCTTCATTTGTACTTTTCAGGATCTTGGTCAATGGCAAGTCTATCTCTCTACTTGCTCAGGTCATAATCCCTGTGCCGTTATCTTTAAGTCTTCTGTCACACCCCGCATCTAATACTTTTGGGCTACCTTCAGACATATCCAGAGTCTGACCATTATCCATCATTTCCTTTGATAGTTACCTCCATCCTTTGCATGAATTACTGCAGCAACCTCTAATAAGTGTTCCTGTTTCCCTATAGTCTGCTCCCAAGATAACAGCCAGAATAATTCTTTTTTTTTTTTTTAAAGTAGGTTCCACACCCAGTGTGGAACCCAGTGCAGAACTTGAACTCAGGACCCTGAGATCAAGATCTGAGCTGATATCCAGAGTCAGATACTCCAATAACTGAGCCACCCAGGCATCCAGAATAATCCTTTTTAGAGCCTGTTAGATCATATCCCATTCCTGCTCATAACCCTGTGATGGTGTCCCAGTTTTACTCAAGAACAGCCGAAGTCCTTTCAGCGGCCTGTGGAGCCTCCCCCGTTACTGCTCTGACACTCTTCTCCTCTTACACACTCGGCTTCAGCCACACTGACCCTGCAGTTCCTTGCTGTGCCTCAGCCACACTCCAGTGCTCCGAGTCTTCTACTCTCTGTTCCCTCTGTCTGGAATGTTCTCTATGATATCTGCTTAGTTAACCCTCATACCTTCTTCAAATCTTTGGTCAAAGTTCACTTCTGTGAATCTTAACTTGGCCACCCTTTTTAAAACTGCAGCCTGCTCATCTCCACCGCTGCTGCTCCTGGTCTCCTGGACCCTGCTCTATTCCCCCCCTTCCACCCCATGGCTTTTGTCACTTTCTAATATATTACAGGATCTATTTGTGTATTGTGTTACTGTTTATTGTTTATCTCCCCCCGCTAGGAGAGCGTTTTTGTTGTTCTGATACAGCCTTTGCACCTAGAACAGTGACTGGCACACAGTAAAAGTTTAATAAATATTTGCTGATTTGAATACTTTCTTCTCTCACCCTGTGTGTGCAGTCCACCATGAAGCCCTGTTACTGTTCTCCTCTGGGGAAGTTTGCGATCTCTCCACATCCCTCCAGTTCTGCTGCCACCACTTAGTCTAAACTGTCATGTTCCCGGTGATCTACTGCAGTAGCCTCCTCATTGGTCTCCCTGCAGCCACTCAGATTTCTTCTCTACAGTGCATCCCAAGTAATTTTTCAAGACACAGATCTTATCATGTTACTTGCCCTTCTCAAAATACTGTGTCTTTCCCCACTGCTTTTAGGAGAAAGGCGGGGCTTGCAAGGTCCAGTGTGGTTGGGTGTGTCTTCTCTTCCCCTGCAACTACATCCTGTATCCCGTTATCCCTTGCTCTCTATTCTCTAGCCGCTCGGGCCCTTTTCCCATCCTCTGGGCGAGGCTTCCTTATTCCTGCCGTGGGTCCACGCATTATCTGCTCTTCCCTCTGACTAGAATAACTACTTTCTCTTTTGGTCTGGCAAACTCCTGCTCATTCTTTGGCTCTCAAAAGCTTATTTAGTCTTTCAGAAGGGTCAGATCTTCTACTCTGGGCCCTGCTTTATCCATAGATAGCTCTTTAGAGCAGAGTGATCTAGCCTCAGCCCAGTCCCCTAGAAGACCAGGTTAATGTTCACAGTACCATCTTACGTTTCTGTTCTCTAGCCTTTTTGCTTTTTATGCATTTATGGGTAAGTGCTAAGTAGTTATGTTGGGGTCCTTCTGGGGAGGGAAAGAAATATTTTTTGTTTCTTTGGCTAATAGTATATCTGATAAAGAGTAAAACATTCAGTGTTTTCTGTCCATTTTGTTTTTTATTTTTATTTATTTTATTTTATTTATTTATTTGTCAGAGAGGGAGAGAGCACAAGCAGGGAGAGTGGCAAACAGAGGGAGAAGCAGGCTCCCTGCTGAGCAACAAGGCCCTATGCGGTGACTCGATCCCAGGACCCTGGGATATGACCTGAGCCAAAGGCAGATGCTTAACTGGCTGAGCCACCCAAGCATCTCTGTCCATTTCGTTTTTTAAAATGTTATTTTGGGGGTGCCTGGGTAGCTCAGTGGGTTAAGCCTCTGCCTTCGGCTCGGTTCATGGTCTTGGGGTCCTGGGATCAAGCCCCACATCAGGCTCTCTGCTCAGCGGGGAGCCTGCTTCTCTTTCTCTCTCTGCCTGTCTCTCTGTCTACGTGTGCTCTCTCTCTCTCTGTCAAATAAATAAAATCTTAAAAAAAAATAAAATGTTATTTTGGTAACATCTTGTAGAATTTGACTTAATTTCCTTTTATGATCTCATACTAGTAGTTTCACTCTAAATCTCTTTCTTTCCCATAGGTATATGTCATGCTTTATCTTTTCATTTACATAAAAGAATACATGTACTTAGACACGAGTACATATATTGAAACCACAAACTCACACACACACTTATTTTAGTCAGCACTTTACTGTTTCACTTGCAATATTGGAGTCAAATCGAATTTTACATCTCTTTGTTAAAGTAGTAATACCAATTTTAGAATGCAGGTAGCGTAATTAATGTACCAAGAGAAAAAGTCTTACCTGCCAATTCTCTTTAATGCAACTTTTAGAAATAACACATGTACTGTACTGTTTGCTGGTAAAGGAAGTATGCTAAGATACTATATGGAACAAAGAAAGTAAATAAACTAAGTAAAGGTAATTTTTGACATTCCTATTCTTGGTCCATTCATAGGTGGACTATGATAGGTATATAGGTCAAAGATAGTAAATGTAAAATATAAATATATTGATTATTTCTCTTTAAAAGGTTATTTTTACTCTATCATCATATTAATTGACATGCATACAAAGAAGTTGGTCTTAGCTTTTTCTGTCTGTTTAAGTAATCTCTGTGCCCTCCGTGGGGCTCAAACTCACAATCCCGAGATCAAGAGTCGCATGCTGTGCTGACTGAGCCAGTCAGGTGCCCCGGTTTTAGCTTTTTGACTCTGTTGATCTCCCTTCCCTAATGCATATGTCTGTCTTGTCAGTTTTCAGTATTAAAATTGTTATTCAAGGGACGCCTGGGTGGCTCAGTTGGTTGGACGACTGCCTTCGGCTCAGGTCATGATCCTGGAGTTCCGGGATCGAGTCCCGCATCGGGCTCCCGGCTCCGCGGGGAGTCTGCTTCTCTCTCTGACCTTCTCCTCACTCATGCTCTCTCTCACTGTCTCTCTCTCAAATAAATAAATAAAAATCTTTAAAATAAAATTGTTATTCAATTATTTGCCCTCACAAGATACTCTTTAGAGGGCAAGAATCATGTTTATGTTTTCATCTATCTAGAACAGTGCTGATTACTTAGGAACCAATAACTGAATAAATGAATTCCTACCTTTTATAGTGAATATGAGACTGGTACTATAATTAACCATAATTATCTGAGAGAACAGAATTTGAAAATCGTACTTAGACTCAGCCTATGGCAATCACCCTCAGCTGTTGGTCTAAAAGCCATTTTCGTTTTTATTATGTTCCCTTAGTTATTATTATTGTGTCCTTATGCAATCCTTTATGAGTGTTTGGTTGATGATGCTTCCAGTATTGTTGTCTTGGTCTTAGATTGTTGTGTCTGCCTTCTCCTGTCAGCAGGTGTGGGAGCAGATCAGTTAACTTGCTCATAACCATAATCAAAGGCAGTGTGCAACTTTCTTGTGAGCTGCTTTTGTTGGTTCAACTGTGATAAAGCAGCCTGTATTTCTTTAGTATAATACATAATTAATTTTTACTGTGTTACTCTGTTGTTTACAGTGGAAAAGAAGAAGGAAACAATAACAGAGTCAGCTGGTCGACAACAAAAAAAGAAAATAGGTAAGATGAATTATTGGTATACACAAAATGTAGAAAAAATAAGTTTAGGAAATTTGGAAAATTTAAAATTGGAAAAAGAAATTCTTAGGTGATGAAAATATAATAAAGTTATTAACAGTGGTGACTCATGTGTTTGTATAATTTTGTGGTTTACAGAGCGCACTTGCATACATTATCGAACTTGATTTTCTCTTGTCCATTTTGAGGGTAAAATCAAGCAGTTGCTACTGTTTCCTCTTAGCTTTTGAAATTTTAGTTTTAGTAGAATAATGCTGACATTTGTGGCTTTTGAATTTGGCCTAGGGTTCTTGGCATAATTTGTATAAGGTTGTTGTTGTTGTTGTTGTTTTTTTTCTCATATCTGTGTTGATTATTTCCAGTTAAGTCTGAGTTACTTGTGTTGTTGCCATGGCTTCCTTACTGAGAATTGACTGGTGATGGAAATCCTCCAGGGGGTAGGAAATTTACTGCTGAGTAATTTTTATCTGGTCTGAAAAGTAATGACATGTTTTTGGTTTTTCAGTGTAATTTAGAGCTTAATTACAGAATGTAATTCTGTTCCAAAAAGACAATTTATAAATGATTAGATATGATTTATATTTGTACTTTGTGATGCTTCCTGACTCTAAATTAGGAAAAAAATGTTTAACTGTGTGTTTATTCAGAAACTATGTCTCTGCGTAGGTCACTGCCATTATATCCTAGGAAAGAATTCTACCAGACTGGACTATGCCACTATCCTGTTCTGAACACAACTTTTGAATTTAGTGTTTCCCATGTTTTCTAAATGGCCTGCTCATTTAGTTCTGTGGCAGGATGCTACTATATGTTTTCTCTGTGTCAGTGGCTCTGGTGGGTTGTAGAGAAACAAGGTAGAAACAATTCTCTTAGGAAGTCTGGCTAGAGAGGGGAAGACAGACCAGTGCAGTATGGAAGGTTGTTTGTAGAGATATATTCTGAGTTTTAAAAAAGTAAAGAGAAAGGATATCTAAACAAAACTAGGGGATTAGGTTTTCTTGAAGAGATAACATTTTCGGGGCACCTGGGTGGCTCAGTGGGTTAAACCTCTGCCTTCGGCTTAGGTCATGAACTCAGGGTCCTGGGATCGAGCCCCACATTGGGCTCTCTGCTCAGCAGGGAGCCTGCTTCCTCCTCTCTGTCTCTGCCTGCCTCTCTGCATACTGTGATCTCTATCTGTCAAATAAATAAATAAAATCTTTAAAAAAAGAGAGAGATAATGTTTTCATTGAATCTTGAAGCTGTAATGTGAATAACTTAAATAAAAATACAAATAAAGTAGTGGTCAGAATTTATTGAGCTCTTATCATATGCAACATACTGAGGTAAACACTTTATATGTTTTAAGATTCTCCTAACTGTCAATTGTATGTAGTAGTGAAGAGTGTTACTTCATTTTATAGATGAGAAGCATGAAGCTTGAGTTAAGTAATTATCCCTCGGTCAGTCATTTAGTGGTAGATGGAATGAAGTTAGTGGTAGAGAAGGGGTTTGGCCCTGGTCATTTGTAACTTTAACATCCAGTTTTAAGCCCTGTATATCCTAGGCAGAAGGATAGCCATCTCCAAACTCTAGAGGGATCAAATAGCAAGGTATATTCCTGAAGCTATAAATAGTTTAGTGTAACAGATGAAAGAAGGGATGTATAAAGTATAGACAGATGAGGCTAGAGAAATAAGTTGAGTCTGTTGTTCCTAAAGATCTTTATAAATTAAACTAAGGTAATGAGTTTAACTTGTATCCAGAAGACTTTCCATCTTTCCGTATCCATTAAAGGATTTAAACAGAGATTGACATTGGATTTTAAGGAAGACAACTCTGGCAGTAGTTTGGAGATAAATGGGAGAAGGGATCATTCTGGAGGCAGGAGGTCATGAGGCTTTTTAAAAATCTCAGATGCAAAAATGGCAAGAATCTGAGCTTAAGTAGAGGCAGCGGTAATGGAATAGAAGGTATGGATTCAACGGATCTAGAGAAGTAGGAGTAACAGGACTTGATGACTCTTTGATGTGGCATGTGGAGAGAAGGGTGAGTCTACAAAGAAGGCCATATGTCTGATTTGGAAATATTGGAGGAATAGCAAATTGGGATGGGGAAGAAAAGAGAGGATAATTTCAGGTTTGAACGTGTTGAATTTGAAATGCCTGTGTGACAGTAGGTGGAAATATTTGGTACACAGTTGGATATGTGGTTTCGGAGCTAGCAGAGGGATAAAGGCTATAAACAGATTTTAGAATCATATACTTTTAAGTAGTAATTGAGTTCACACACAGAGGAAACCGTATAAAGTAAGAAAAGGAAAGGGCTGAGGATGGAGAGAGTCTTGAGGAAACAGAGGGAGCAGAAGTGGAACCCTGCAGAAGTATTGCCAGAGAAGTCAGAGAGGGTTTGCCATCGTAGCTGAGGGGAGAGCTTCAGGGGACAGAGAGGATCTAAGATGTTAAATGTCTAAGAGGCAAATGGAAATGAAAGTTATTGTTAGTGATGTAGCAAGAATGATTTCAGTGGCGTGATGGGGGACAGAAGCCAGTTGTCTAGATGAGGAGAGAATGCAGGGTGAGGAAGTGAAGACATTGAACATAGAACCATTCTATCAAGTAGCTTTGCTGTAAAGGATAGGAAAGATATAAAAATGGAAGGCAGATTGCTCTCTGCCCTTAAGTCGACACACAAACTGTCTAAAATGTAAATTAACTTTAGCATGGAATGCAACCTTTGAACTTTTTGCTCACCAAAAAGTATCAGAAGAGAAATAACACCTGTGAAGTGTTGGTTATCAACGTCTTATCAGGAGTTAACAAGGTGTAATGTTCATGCGAAGTTGTTTAAAAGACAATCTAGCCATGCTCTAGATTTGTAAATTTTACTCTGAGATTAAGCCTGCCTCTCTGCCTACTTGTGATCTCTCTCTGTCAAATAAATAAATAAAATCTTTAAAAAAAAAAAGAAGAAAAAGCTGAAATGTCTTACATTTGAACTAAAGATCTTAGGTTCACCAGTTTTTTTAAAGTTACATTTATTATTTGAGAGAGAGAGAGTGTGCACACTCAGGGGAGGGGCAGAGGGAGAGAGAGAATCTCGGGCAGGCTCCCTGCTGAGCACAGACCTTGTCATTGTGGGGCTTGATCTCAGGACCCTGAGCTCGTGATCTGAGCTGACATCAAGTAAGATGCTTAACTGACTGAACCACCAGGGCCCCCTTAGGTTCCCATTCTTTTTTTTTTTTTTTTAATATTTTATCTATTTTTATCTGAAAGAGAGAGAATATGAGAGACGGCATGGGGAGGGAGGGCAGAGGGAGAGGGATAAGCAGGTTCCCCACTGAGCAGGGCGCCCGAAGCAGTGTGTAACTGACTGAGCCACACAGGCTCCCCTAGGTTCCCCATTCTTAATTTCAGGTGTAGATGTTTTGGCTGTTTTACATTTCCCTCTTCCCCTACATTTCCCACAGAAGGGAAACAAATTTACTTTTGATATTTTATTTAGTTCTTTTGGCTACATAGATAATAAATCCCCCAATACCTCAAGTATTGGGGGATTTATTTTCCGAACGTATGGGATCCCAAACTCAGAAAACACTGAAGTAATCGGTTACAGGAAGGCAGGAACTGTGTTAAAGCCCATCTGGTAGGCAGAGCAAGCCCTGAGATGAAGTGAGACAGTGGGCTCCAGTGTTTTTAAGGCTGCACTATTGTTATTTTTTAGAGAGGGGGAGAGGTGCTGGAGGGGCAGAGGGAGAGGGAGAGACTCATAAGCAGTCTTCACGTCTAGCATGGAGTCTGATGTGGGGTTCAGTCTCACAACCCTGAGATCATGACCTGAGCTTTGCTTGACCAGCTGAGCTCCCCAGGCGCCCCCGAGCTGCACTATTGATATGTCCTTCAATCTCTTTCTGTTGTTCAGCTTCTCCCACTTGCTCTGTAGTGTTTTTCTGGCATTTAGGCTGTGCCTACACCTAACTTTGGCTTGTGTCCTAGGGTTCTGCCTATATCAGTCTTATTCACAATGTACTCTGTAGACCCCCTGCGTCAGTACTGTTATGAGTAAAGGGCTCTGCGTCTTCCTCCCAGACTACTGAGTCAGGATCTCTGGATGTGGGACCCAGGAGGCTGCTGTTTTTAACAGGCTTCCCAGATTTTCTTAGACAAACTGAAGTTTGAGAGCCAGTGCTATATTATAATTTTTCTGTTTCTGCTCCCACAGTTAATTGATTTACTATTCCAAGATTTTCTGTTTTAAATTTCTGAGAGAAGGAATCTGGTTGGCTCAGCTCGTCTCTTTACACCGTGGGTCATGAGAAGGCACAGGGATTGGCTGCCTGCTAGGTCGGTAGTGCAGGGTGGGGGTTATGGGAATCTTTGAAAGGCTGACCCTCAACAAGGACTCTGGTAGGAGGCTGATACCCTCAGATGGCTGGGGAAGAGAGGGCAGGCATTCAGAAGTTTGACTGAGTTGGGGTGGATATCTCTTTTCTTCGTGACCTGGAGATACGGGAGGAAATTTTTGAAATTTAATTTATTTTGGGCCCTGAATTTATATATTCACTCTAGGCCTTTATCCTGTTTGGATTTTCCATAAAAGAAGACTGCCTCAGGCATTTAGTTTAAATTTTGCTTCCTCTCCATTACCAAATCTATGAGAAATTTCAAGGTTATATTATTAATTGGTTTTCATTCAAGACAACTCAGAATGTAGAACTCCCATGGGATATCTAATTCTTTTCATCTATAGAGTGGCACCTGCTATTTTGACCTTCTCTCTGTTATTTAAAAATGTTCACCATCTCCCAAACTGTTGGTTGGATTTGACCAACCGGTTGCCTCCTGTATTGATTTCCATTCTTTGACAGAAAAGACACTGGTTATTGACTAAGGTAAATGAGGAAGTGTTCCTTTCTTAAATTATGTTATCTTGTTGCACACAGCCTAATGTTGTCAAATAAAAATGTATAATAGATTGGCTTACTGTCTGTTCATTCTGTGGTCAGAATAGATGCTATCATTGCTACTAGTTGATTCCCATAACTACTACAAGAAATACAGCCTCCTTTTTTTTTTTTCCCAAAGATTTTATTTATTTATTTGACAGAGAGAGAGAGAGAACAGAGAGGGAATACAAGTAGGGGGAGTTGGAGAGGGAGAAGCAGGCTTCCCGCTGAGCAGAGAGCCCAATATGGGGCTCGATCCTAGGACCCTGGGATCATGACCTGAGCCAAAGGCAGAAGCTTAACAATTGAGCCACCCAGGTGCCCTTCATATAAACCATGTATTACATGACTGTGTTGACAGGCTAGTCTTCATAAATTTATCTAACCCAAAATGGAACATAAAAATTTTATTCTTAGGAATAATTGTTTTTCTTTTTTGTCCTGGACATTTGAATTTAAATTCTTTGTTTTTATGTTTATGCTTCTTGAGGCATCTTAGCATTTTCTACCCACAAACGGATCAGGTTCATTTAAGATGAAATTTTGCATGTATGATGTTTCCCTGTTAAATATATTTGTTTTGGGGGCACCTGGGTGGCTCAGTTGGTTAAGCAGCTGCCTTCAGCTCAGGTCATGGTCCCAGAATCCTGGGATCAAGTCCCACATTGGGCTCCCAGCTCCATGGAGAGTCTGCTTCTCCCTCTGACCTCCCCTCTCATGCTCTCTCTCACTCTGTCTCTCTCTCTCTCTCTCAAAATAAAAAAATAAAAATCTTAAAAAAAAAAATATATATATATACATATATATATATTTGTTTAGTTTGATGTTTCTTTATTCTGTTTCTTCTTTTTGTCCCTTTTCTCTACAGAGGCATCTTTTTAAAAATCAACTTTACCTTTTTTTTTTTTTTTAATTTTGCCAAACTTTTTTTTTTTCCTTAAGATTTTATTTATTTATTTGAGAGAGAGGCAGTGAGAGAGAGCATGAGCGAGGAGAAGGTCAGAGGGAGAAGCGGACTCCCCATGGAGCTGGGAGCCCGATGTGGGACTCGATCTCGGGACTCCGGGATCATGACCTGAGCCGAAGGCAGTCGTCCAACCAACTGAGCCACCCAGGCGTCCCAACTTTACCTTTTTACATACTATCTTTTTGTTCTCTTCTGTCGGAAATGGTCCCTAGTGAAAAGTGGAGTCACTAGAGTATATAACATAGACCTTTCAGGTAGCCTCAGACATAATCAGCTGTTAATTGTCCATGAGTGAAATCCCTGTGCTGAGAACTAGTCTTAGCGGCTTCTGCTACCCCATCTGACTCAATTCTGTGCAGCTGATAGTGCCGTGCCCCGGATTTATCAGAGATGGGTAGGTGTGAAAGCAAACATGGAAGATATTTGTATCTGTCACCTCCTCCAAAACCAAGGGAATATAAACCTCTTTTTTAATTATTTGAAATGGACTAAAACTACTTTGTATATGGTAGGTATTTAGTAACAATTTGAATTGAAGACTTTTCAAGAACCTTAATAGTGTTATTGTGCAGTGTAATCCTGTGTGGCTGTATTATTAAGCAGCCATTGTCTACACATTGTCTACACATTGTCTACCCTGGTTACAATAACCTTAACGGTTATTGTTTCTCTGTGGACTTAGCTTCAGAAAAACTATGTCACCTCAGTTTGCTCTCAGCTTTTAGGCTCTTTGTGCTTTTTCTATCTGTTTGGGCTATCAGCTTCATCATAAAGGGCTACCCCTTCACCCCGACCCCCCAAAAAGGACTCCTTTCCCTAGAAAAGGATTTTTGGTATGCTGTATCTTCATATCAGGTTTTATTATGTTGCTGAATCATTCATGAAATAATATTGAGCACATACCACAATACTGAGCAACTAAGTACATGCTAGTTACTGAGGTTATAGAGATGAAGAAGGCACAGGAATCCTTGTTCTCTAGGAACCTGCCATCTGGTTGGGCTGATGGGTAAATAAACAGATCATTACAAGAGAATGTACAAACTCAGTATAATGATAAAGATATGCATGGAATATTCTGGAAGCATAAAGAAGGGACTGCTAATCTAGTGTTCAGTAAAGCAGTCATTAGCTACATTTGGCTTTTTAAATTAATTAAAGTTAAATGAAGTAAAAATTTTAGTTCCTCAGTCACAATGACCATATTTTATTTGCTCAGGAGCCACATGTCATTAGTGACTACTTTATTGCCAGCACAGATAGAGAATATCTTCATAATTATAGAAAACTCTATAGGGGCGCCTGGGTGGCTCAGTCAGTTAAGCATCTGCCTTTGGCTCCGGTTGTGATCCCAGGGTCCTGGAATTGAGCCCCACATCAGGCTTCTTGCTCAGTGGGGAGCCTGCTTCTCCCTCTCCCTCTGCTGCTTCCCCTGCTTGTGCTTCTCTCAAATCAATAAAATCTAAAAAAGGAAAAGAAAATTCTATAGAACATTATTGACTAAGGAGTCAAGATTTTAAAAAGGAGGTGACAGAGAGCCGAGACTTAAAAGTTGAGTACTAGCTAACCAGGAAGGGCTTGGCTAGGGACAGAATAAAACATTCTAGGTAGAAATCCCAGTTGAGACTGAGGAGTTTCTTGGGATGTGTGGTTTTTAGAGCTAAAACTGGAACAATCCTGGGAAAACTGGGACAGTTGGTCACCCAAGTAGAAAGGACTTCATAGACAAAGGCACTGGATCTAGAGAAAAGTTTCACATCGAGAGCAGCTTACGTTTGTTTGGTGTTGCAGGAACCTCTGCAGTACAGTTCATGTGAGGGATTGGAAATGAGGCTGCAGGGATGGACCTCAGACTTGCCGGTGACACTGGAACATGAGCTTGTAGGGGGAAAGGCCATGCCAGAATTTTAAGCTGGGGAGTATCATAATTTTGGTCAGTTTTACATCTTAGGTAGATCTGACGGGTAGCTTCGTGGAAGATGAATTTGAGGGAGCAAGTTTGGAGGCAGTGAGATGCTTGGAGACTTGAAGCAATATAGGTAAAGTGGTTAGAAATCCCAAGGACATGGTAATGAGGAGGGGGAGGGTTTCATAAGTATTTATGAGGTATGTGGGGTGCCTGGGGGGCTCAGTTAGTTAAGTGTTCAACTCTTGGTTTTGGCTCAGGTCATGATCTTTGATCTAGGATCAGGCCCTGTATCAGGCTCCCTGCTCAGCAGGGAGTCTGCTTGAAATTGCCTCCCCCCCCGCCGCCCAACTCCCCGGAGCGTGCACACTCCTTTCTCTCTCTCTCTTTCTCAAATAAATACATCTTCAAAAAATACTTACGAGGTATAATTAATGGGATGTGGTGTTTGGTTGAGACAGGAGGGAGTCAGGGATATGCCAAGGCCTCTAGCATAGGTGATCTCCTATACCTTTTTATTTTGTAGTGGTAGTCCCTTCCCTCTCTAGTTGTTTTATGCCTGTTTACCTTCTCATCATCTTATACCCCAGCCCTCAACCCCCAATTTAAAAACATCTTGTTACATTGTAAGAGGACTGGCCAGGTAGCAAAGGAGCTCCCCCCGACCAAGATAGACATTAGCTGCATTCATTTTTCTTCATTTTGTTCCATATATCTCCAGCATCCCACTCTCTCCTGCCCATATCCTTCCCTTCCCTGGAGAACAAACTGGACGGGAGCCATTCAGGGTAAGGGATCATGTCTTCCTCCCGCTCTGTGCTGTTTGGAAACTGCAGTCCACTCTGTAAGCCAGCCCTCCTGTAGGCCTCTTTGTTCCTCCTTTCCTGTACCTGCCCAAATTTACCTGCCCTCACACCAGTTTATTCTAATGGTATATATTTTTGTTTTAGAGGATATTATATTTTTATTTTGTAATCTTCCTGTGAGGGTGGGGATTTTTGTGTTTTTTGTTCATTTGTGTATCCCCAGTGCTCAGAATGTGGTAGATAATCAGTGTTTGTTGAAGTAATTAATCCTGGTGATGGTAATACAAGACCAAAGAGAGCAGTAGCAGAGGGTGCATAGAGATTCCTGGCTTGGGAGTTGGGAAACTTGGAGTCTAGTCCTGGCTTCGCCACAGAATGCTCACGGGTTCTCTAACAAGTCACTTCCCCTTTGCGGGACCTCAGTTTCTTTCTGGAAACAATGAAATCCCTGCGTTGATTGAATTCACAAATAATGGCATTGATGTACAGTTGAGACTTTGTTAAGCATTTTGGGTTGTGTGTATATAACAACTTTCTTTAAAATATATGTGAAATTTTCTAGCTTTCTAATTCACTTAACTAAAAAACTATGCTTATTTTTAGAGTAATTAGTCTGTAATATGAAAGAACCTGAATTTTAAATTTGTCTTGATTGGCTTTTACTTTTAGACTCTGCTCTCTTGAAGTAACTGAAAGAGGGGGAAAAACATGAGAGATAAATAACTCATATTTGAAGCCTAATTACAGTCATTATATTTACACTTTCCATCAGTATAGTATAAAAGTGTATCTTAATGTATAGTTAAGACACTTAATACCTGAGGTAATTTTTGATTACTCTTTAAAGATTTTTATTTATTTAAATAAAAATATTTTGGTGCTCTGCTGCATTTGAATTTTCTGCTAATATAAAGTATACAATACCACAAGTATTTAGCTGATGTTATTACTAAGTGATCCTGAGACAGAACTGCTTTTATAATCACCAGTCAGTGACAGTTTAACATCTGCCTTGCGCTCAGCATTGTGTATATTAATCAGTTTGTTAATTCTTTTCAGAGAGGCAGGAAGAGAAACTGAAAAATAACAACAGAGACCTGTCCATGGTAAGAGTCTGAAGTGTAATATTGTGGTGAACCACAACAAGTTTTATAGAATAAGACTCTGATTTGCATTAAATACACTGTACTTACCTTTTCAGAAATTCACCCACTAATGTCATGGGTGTTCCTGGGCCAGGTGGAATTGAAAATATGCTCTTGGGCTTAAACTTCATTTCAGTAATGAGAGAAGCCGTTTTGGGCTGTCTCGGGGATCATAATTTGTCCCTTTCACACAGTTTTTGCTTAGCTTAGCCCTTATGTTTCGAATGGAGTGGTCTGTTTTCTTTTACTCTCGTGTCATTGCCGAATCTTTGGTTTTCAGGTGACCTATGTCACGCCAGTCTCTGAGCTGGAGCATCATAGATGGCCTTTATTGGGGTGCCTGGGTGGCTCAGTGGGTTAAGCCTCTGCCTTCGGCTCGAGTCATGAGCTCAGGGTCCTGGGATCGAGTCCCGAGTTGGGCTCTCTGCTTAGCAGGGAGCCTGCTTCCTCCTCTCTCTCTGCCTGCCTCTCTGCCTGCTTGTGATCTCGCTCTGTCAAATAAATAAATAAAATCTTTAAAAAAAAAAATAGATGGCCTTTATTGTTGCCTTTGTTCTTCAAGAGGCCTTTTGTTCTGCGTGTCAGGCATAGCGTAAAGTGTAAAGAGAAATGATTTTATTACCCATTATTCATCATTTATAAAGAGTAGAGTTTGTTCAAGAGTTTTTCTAAGGCATGGATAGGCTAATTATATGGCTTGACTAACTTTTCTATTTAATTTCTGTACGTTTATCACAGGACATCTAAACTGTGCAACAGTTGTCTTTGCTTTCTAAGAGACCTTTGCTATATTAGCTTCTGTTTCTTGCAATTCTAATTGAGTAAGGCTGTAATTTAGAAGTGCATCTTTTTGAAAATAGCTTTTCTGTTGACCTACTTATTAAGTGTTTATAAGACCAAATTTGGAAACTATAGAAAGAAGAGAGGAAAAATTGCTGATAAACCTGTCATCCAGGAGCTCAAGTTAGCTCAGTCAGAAGAGCATGAGACTCTTGATCTTAGGGTCATGAGTTCGAGCCCCACATAGGGTGTAGAAATTACTTAAAAATAAAATCGTATAAAAAATTAATAATAGGGCGCCTGAGTGGCTCAGTGGGTTAAAGCTTCTGCCTTCGGCTCAGGTCATGATCCCAGGGTCTTGGGATCGAGGCCCGCATCACGCTCTCTGCTCGGCGGGGAGCCTGCTTCCTCCTCTCTCTTTCTCTGCCTGCTTCTCTGCCTACTTGTGATCTCTGAGTGTCAAATAAGTAAATAAAATCTTTAAAAAAAATTAATAATAAAAAATATCTTTAAAAAAAATACCTGTCACCCAGAGATAATGATTGTTACTCTTACATCGATATGATCTTTTATTTATTTATACTTTTACCACATTTGTAATTAAGTAAGAAGTTAGCTGCAAATAACAGAATACATAACTATAACAATGACTTAAACAGATAAAGATTTTTTTTTTTTTTACTTGTTCAAGAAGGCCAGGGTTTGGTAGTCCTGGGTTGGTGTAGCAGCTCAGTAATGTTATTAAGGACTTAGGTTGGCCATTCTTAGATTATGGTTGTTTGGTTATTTGATGGTACTTTATCCTTTATCTTCAGGCATTATGTTCTTCATTCCAGGCAAGAAGAATGGGCCAAAGGCTTAAAGGGATACTGGCCAACTTTGTCCCTTTAAAGTCCTGTTCGTTCGGTACTGGTACCAGAACTGGGTCACATGGCCACCCAATACTATTCATCAGAAGGGGACAAGGAGAAGGGCTTGGAGGTGGAGGGTGGGTTAGCCAATAAGCAGCTTATTGCTATGGAGTGCAGTGTGATTTGAAACCAGAATTTTGGGGTGTACCTTAGTAGTGTGAAATGACAATGTGCTGGTCTCTTTACAGGTCCGAATGAAATCCATGTTTGCAATTGGCTTTTGTTTTACTGCCCTAATGGGAATGTTCAATTCCATGTGAGTATCCTTTAATAATATGGTTTTACCTAACTGTTCTATATGTGTGTGTATTTATGAGCAATTAACTTTTTTTTTTTAAAGATTTTCTTTATTTGGGGGGCACTAAAGAGAGAGAGCAAACACAAGCAGGGGAGAGAAGGAGAGGGAGAAACAGGTTCCCTGCTCAGCAGGGAGACTCGATCCCAGGACCCTGGGATCTTGACCTAAGCCGAAGGCAGATGCTTAAGTGAACGAACCACCCAGCCGCTCCAGCTTTTTTGGTAATATTTTATTTTGATACTTCAAATTTATAGAAAGGTTACAAAAATAATATATTCATTATCCATAGTCACAATTGTTAATATTTTGCTTCATTTTCTTTCTTTTTCTGTCTCTTCCATATCATCTGTGTAGTCATTCACACATACATTATGTATGTATTATTCAAGATTATGTTATGGGGTTCATGCCCCTTTATCCATAACTACTTATTTATTTATTTATTTATTTATTTGACAGACAGAGATTACAAGTAGGCAAGTAGGCAGAGAGATAGGCAGAGAGAGGGGAAGGGAAGCAGGGGCTCGATCCCAGGACCCTGAGATCATGACCTGAGCCGAAGGCAGAGGCTTAACCCACTGAGCCACCCAGGCGCCCCCCTACTAAATTTTTTTAAAAAGATTTTATTCATTAATTTTTTTTAAAGATTTTATTTATTTATTTGACAGATAGAGATCACAAGTAGACAGAGAGGCAGGCAGAGAGAGAGAGAGGAGGAAGCAGACTCCCTGCTGAGCAGAGAGCCCGATGTGGGGCTCCGATCCCAGGACCCTGGGATCATGACCTGAGCTGAAGGCAGAGGCTTTAACCCACTGAGCCACCCAGGCGCCCCTTTATTCATTAATTTGACAGAGAGCATAAGCAGAGAGATTGGCAGAGGGAGAAGGAAAGTGGCAGAGGGAGAGAGGAAACAAACTCTGTGCTGAGCAGGGAGCCCAACACAGGGTTCAATCCCAGGGCTCTGGGATCATGATGTGAACTGAAGGCAAATGCTTAACCGACAGCCAGTCAGGAGCCCCCATAACTACTAAAGTGTATATTTCCTGAGAACGTGGACATTTTCTTAGATAACTTCAATCCAGTTACCAAAATCAAGGGTCTTACACCAACAAATAAAGGCTTCGGCCCAGATGAAAACGTCTTCTGCTGACTCTTAGGTCATAGTTTATTTTGATAGCCTGGGATAGCTCAGAGTCTTGTAATAAGACAGGCTAACATCAGCAATAAATACTCAGAGTGTTTATCTCAGTATTAACCTATCAACAGTGTTTGGAAAAAATAATTCACCATTGTGTGCATCCTCTTGACAGGGTAGTACTGTAAATCTAATTTTCAAAGACTATATCTCTTTAATGATGAGAGTGTTGGCGTAAGGCTTAAGTCGGGAGAAGTCTTAACTTGTAAACTAAGTTGTGAAACATGGAAATAAATCAGTTTGGCTTATGTTCGTTATTTACAGTAGGAGGAATTTGTTAGATTACCTTTTCAGAAGAATTTTCCAGTTCTTTCATTCTTTTCTGTGGTTAAAACTAGAACTTGGTATATAGTTTTGATTTGAATCCATAGTTGGTTCAGTTACTAAATGAAGCTAATATATTTGATTATAATCATAGAATCACGTAACTACAAAGTATTATATTTCTTATGTTTCTTTCTTCTTTGAGTCAGTAATCATTTTCATTTGCCTGCCTTTGATTTTTCTCCCTCCAGTTGTCAAGTTTCTGTGAGTGTACTACGTGAATATTTATAGGTTTCAACTATTTTTAATATTTATTCGGGTCAAAAAGCTGCACGCCGTTTTTTTGTGCCTCACACTGTGGGAGATAAAAGAAAATTGTGCAGCCTGAGCCCTCACGATGCTTGTTCCCTTCAAGTAGAATAGACATCTCTATAAGAAATATTGATTTACCAGTTAAAAAGTTACTGTTGTTTTTTATGTGGGGGTCATTATAACTTGTTGAAGATCCATTATAGAGAGAAATTTTAGAGAGAGAGAAGTTTTATAACAAGAACTCCCCACCTCAGCTGTATTTGCCGCTCCCTTGGGCTTCAGACCAGCCTGTCCCTGGGCCTCAGAGAGGCTTGTTTCTCTATGTTATTTTTGAGACTTGCTTGGAACCTGTCATGTTCTCTGCCAAAGCATCGCTCTTCGTGATACTTGTGTGTCTTTCAGTGGCTCCCATTTCTGGTCAGCTGGAACTGAAAGCTTTATTGCTTCCCTCCTTCTCTTCCTTTCAGCCCACATTTCTTGCGTTTCCACCCTGTCCCAGATTCAGTGCTGGGCACCGAGTTATCTCTAACGTTGTCAGTCCTCGGTTCCGTCAGTGAACAGTTCCTGTTACTCTGCCTCTCCGTGTCTTTCGAGTCATCCATCCGTCTGCCCATCCATCCCTCTCTCCTTCCCTCCTCCCTCTCCTCTTCATCCGTGCTACATCAGCTCTTAGCATAGTTCAGCCCATTGCCTTTCCTCTCTGCTATTACCCCTTGACCTCGGGCATGCCAGTAGCTTCCCAGCTGCTCTCCATCCTCAGGGGCCTCCTGTCACTGCAGCATTAAGGTGACCATCCCCAAAACACATACCCATTGTCTAATAACCGCATCTGCTCCTGATGGAATAGTAGCTAGTAGCTGTGTGTTGGCCACTGTTGGCCTTTATGTGTGTTGCCCTTGTAATCTTAACAGCCTTCCGAGATGAGTATTACAGTCTTTGTTTTACTGATGAGAATATGAGACTCCAAGTTATTTAACTTGCCCAAGGTCGCGAAGCTAGTAAACGTTGAGCCGGAGTATAACTCGTGTCTCTGACTCTAAAGTCCTTTCGGAGCATCGTACCACTCAGACTCCTGACCTGAGTCTGGACTTCAACCTGGCGTCACCATGCTTTGACCCCAGCCTGTGCCAACTTTATTTCTTTTTACTGTTTACAGACTATTGTGTTCTGACTGCACTGTTCACTGTTCCTGAGATACACATTCTTTCATGTGAATTTTAGAGTCACTCGTGTATCAGCTTCCCTTTAAGATAATCCCATTTGAGTTTTGACTCAGATGTTATTTAATTTATATGTTAGTTTTGAAGTATTAGACACCTTTATAATTTTAAATATTTCTATCTAGAAACATCGTGTTTCTGCAAAGTCCGTTTTATGTGCTTTTGTAGTTTCTTTCCAAGTAAGTCGTGCATGCATTTTATATCTTCTAACTCGTTATTACTGGTATAAAAGTAAATCACCAATTCTTGTTACTTTATTCTGTAACTGGCCATCTTGCTGAACTCTAATAGGGTCTGGTATGTTTTAGTTTGGTTCTGTAATTTTCTAGATAGATAATCACATGATCAGACAAATAACTTGGTCTCATTCTTTCCAAAATTTCCCCTCCGTCCTTTCTTCCCTGCCACCTTCTTCTCCTCTCTAGTTCTTTTTTTTTTTTTTTTTTTTAATTTTTATTTATTTATTTGACAGAAAGATAGCACAAGTAGGCAGAGCAGCAGACAGAGGGAGAGGGAGAAGCAGACTCTCCGCTGAGCAGGGAGCCCAATATGGGACTCGATCCCCGGACCCCGTGATCATGACCCAAGCCGAAGGCAGCCGTTTAACTGACTGAGCCACCCAGGTGCCCCTCCTCTCTAGTTCTAAGTTGAATTAGAACAACCAGAAGAGGGACACCTGAGTGGCTCGGTCAGTTGAGCAGCTGCGTTCAGCTCAGGTGATGATCCCAAGATCCTAGGATCCAGTCCCACACCTAGCTCCCCACTGAGCCTGCTTCTCCCTGTCTGTCTGTCTCCCAGCTTGTGGTCTCATTCTCTCTGTCAAATAAATAAATAAAATTAAAAAAAAAAACCCACCAGAAGAGAGTAAAATACTTAATAATGAAATAGTAAAGATAGTCTAATAAAAATGGGGACCAAATGAATATAATAGTTGTATTGCTGCTTTGATAATTGTGAAATTTCTAGAGGACTGAGGTTTTCAAAGCCATATATAAGAACATGTGGGGGACAAAGCACTTCATCGTCAGCAGAGGCCCCATGGGCTTTCTCTGCAGAATTTTCATAACATCGTTACGTGTGGACCATCCAGCAGTGAACATCAGTCTCTCATGTGGTCCACAATGTTCTATGTATTTCCATTTTATTTTTCCACGCTTAAAGCTCTTGAGTCAAGGCCCATATCTGAAAAGCATATACTGTGTAATGATTATTCAGCAACTATTTGTTGATTACACTTTTAGGCCGTAGACTAATACTGAAATGCCTATTTATGGAGTTCATCAGTACAAGATAAAATATCACATGCCTTTTCTCAAAGCCATGAAGCTCAAAAAAGTCAAATATAGTATCTTCAGGAGGAAAATGTTACAAAAAACTTCATTATATTCAAGCTTCTTATAGAAGGCTTCCATTGGCAAGAAGGAAGACTGTTCTTTCCTCTTTGTTCTTCAGTATATTTTCTTTTCGTCAGCTCTTATTCAGGACACTGGCAACAGTAGCTTTTTACTTGTTTTGTTTTGCAATACTGGTGTGGAGGTTCATGTAAGTGTTTTACTGTTTATTCAAGTGCTGTTTGATTTTTTTTTATAAGACTTTATCTTTTTAGAGCAGTTTTAGGTTTACAGAAAAATTGAGGGGAAAGGACAGACATTTCCTATCTACCCTCCGCCCCATGCATGACCTTCCCCGCTAGCAACTTCCCCACTCGTTCGCGCTGGTGAGCCTGGGCTGGCACCCAACCACCCGGAGTCCCCTGCTTGCATTAGGGGTCCCTCTTGGTGTACATTCAGTGAGTTTGGACACATGTATAATGACATGTAGCACCATTATGGTATCATACAGAGTAGGTGAAGTGCCTTAAAACTCCTCAGCTCCGCCCGTCTATCCCGTTCTCTCCCGCCCCAGCTCTGCAGCCACTGATCTTTTTACTGGCTTCAGAGTTTTGCCTTTTTCAGACGGTCATAGAGTTTGACTCATGCAAGCGTATAGCCTTTTCAGATTGGCCTCTTTCACTTAAAGTCCCTCCGTGTCTTCATGGCCAGTAGCCCATTTCGTTGTAGCACTGAATAATATTTCATTGTCTGGATGCACCAGTTTATCCACTGATACCTGATTTACTTCCAAGTTCTGGCGATTATTAGTGAAGCCGCTGTGAACACCCGGGTGCAGGTTCTTGTGTGCACGTAAGTTTTTCACTTCTTTGGATAGATACCAAGGAGCACAACTGCTCGGCTGTAATTCATGTTTTTGTTCTGGTCTTTGTGCCCTGTGCATTTAAAAATATATATTATTATTGTGTGCACACTAGAAGTTTTCATTGTTATAAAAGTATTATTGTTGTGTGCACACCAAAAGACTGTGAGCACCTAAAAGTTACAGGCTGTATCTCTGTTTTTCAAAAAAATTTTTTAAAAGATTTTCATTAATTTATTTGACAGAGATCACAAGTAGGCAGAGAGGCAGACAGAGAGAGAGGAAGGAAAGCAGGCTCCCCGCTGAGCAGAGAGCCCGATGCGGGGCTCGATCCCAGGACCCTGAGATCATAACCTGAGCTGAAGGCAGAGGCTTTAACCCACTGAGCCACCGAGGTGCCCCATCTCTGTTTTTTATAAGCTGGCATATGCAATGAGAAGTCTAGTACATATATTGATTATATTATTCAATTTTTAATGTAATCTCTCAGAGTTTCACCTGGATCATCTGTTTACCGTAGAATGGAATACACTATCTCTAATATACCTTTTAATTTGTTGACAGCTGGAAGCTTTTAAGAAAAAAGCCTGAGGTTAGATGCAAAGATCTTGAATTTCCAGATTTCCAAAGAAGCAGTAGGAAGCACTGCTTTTAGCTGTTTATTTCTTTTTGGGTTTTTATTCTGGATCATTTCCATAAAGCTGAAATGAAACATTACCATCTTAGAATTAGAAGAGATCTGAAGTCATTTAACACATAACTTCTGTCCCAATACAATCTCTCTTCAGTAATACCTCTAGCAGATAATTTTCCATCCTCTGTTTAATTATTGCCAACAATGAGGAGCCTGAGGGTTTCTGAGATAATATACTTTTATTGAGTAGTTTTTAGGGTTTGAAAGTAATTTCTCTTACTGGGCTAACATGTGCCTTCTTGTACTTCTACTCATGAGCAGTAGTTCTGCCCTCTGGAACCAGAGAGTAAGTGCACTGAAAGAAATAATCTGTCTAGGTATAATAATATCTATAAGCTGTCTCTCTTTTTGCTCCTTTCCCCTTCGTTCCCCAACTCTTCTTTATTAGGCTAGACACCATTTCAGTTAGCTGTTCCTATGACAAGCTTTAAGTATCCTGGAAAAATTAATTCATTAAAAGTAAGAGTTCTTGGAAGTTTTTTTTTCCTTTTGTCTATGGCTGGCTTAAGGTCTCATACACGGTAGGTACTTTCACATTCACGGATAACTTTTCCTTGTTTTCCAGCTTTATTACAATATAATTGACATATAACATATAACATTGTGTATGTTTGTATACACACATGATGTACATGTAATGATTTGATAGACATATACATTGTGAAATGATTACTACAGTACGGTTTATCTCACAGTTATTATTTTGTTGTGGTATGGTGGTGAGAACATTTAAGATGTACTGTCTTAGCAAATTTAAGTCTATAATACAATATTGTTGATTATAATCACCAGGCTGTACATTTGATGCCCAGAACTTAAGCATCTTGTAACTGGAGGTCTGTATCCTTTGACCAGCATCTTCCTATTTCTCTCATCCCCAACCCCTGCCAACTGTGAATCTAACCTTGTTTCCATGATTTCAGTTTTTTTTTATTCTACACGGAAGTGGTATCATACTATTCGTCGGTCTCTCTGACTTCTTTCACTTAGCATAATACTCTCAAGGTTCATTCCTGTTGTTGCAAATGGCAGGATTTCCATCCTTTTTATGGCTAAATAACATTCTACTGGGTCTATGTATGAATCTTCTCTTGACATCTTCTATATGTATGACTGTCCACTTACTACTTCCAACTGCCTTTCTAGTATATATTTACACAGGAAAAGGCTCAATCACAAATTGATTTTACTTACATATGACGAAAGTATTTAAAGATCTGCTTGAAGTAATCACTGTCATTCTCTTCTACTAACTTCACAAGACCAAAACAAAAGTAATAATTTTTTCAGGAGAAGATACTCCCATTCATCTCTTCTATATTCTTTGCAGCACAGTTGTCTAAGAAGTTCTTTAGAACCACAGTAGTTGGGATGCCTGGGTGGCTTAGTTAAGTGACTGACTTCTGCTCTGGTCATGATCCTGGAGTCCTTGGGTTGAATCCCACAGCAGGCTCTCTGCTCAGCAGGGAGTCTGCTTCTCCCTCTGATCCTCCCCTTCTTGTGCTCTCTCTCTCTCAAATAAATAAATAAAATCTTCAAAAGAAAAAAAAAAAAAGAATCACAGTAGTTGATCTGGATATTTAGGGATTTTTTTCCCCCAAAGACAAAGATGGTATTGCTACTTCTTTTTTCCCCTCTCTCTCTGTAGAAACATTCTAAATCCCAAGTGGGTTTTTTTCTTCTTTTTTAAAAATATATATTCTTAAATTTTTATTTAAGTAGGCTCCATACCCAAAGTGGACCTCAAACTCACAACCCTGAGATCAAGTCGCACACTCCACTGAGCCAGACAGGTGCCCAGGTATTTTTTCCGAGGGAATTTTCTAGCTGTTTTAACAGGAATTAAAGATTCTATTTAGACAATTTAGCTGATGCAGTCATACATTTCTGTAATATTATTAAGTATCACTATCCTTAATCACATTAATTTTTATAATTTTCATTATTGACTGATTATACTACTTACTAATAGAAAAGTATAAAAGAAGTAATATCCCCAACACCTCAATATAAGTGCTGGTATGCATTTTCTTATAGCTTTTTTCTAAGCTTTTCTCTTTTATTTTTTTTCTTAAGATTTTATTTATTTATTTGACAGAGATCACAAGTAGGCAGAGGTAGGCAGAGAGAGAGGAGGAAGCAGGCTCCCCGCTGAGCAGAGAGCCCGATGTGGGCCTCCATCCCAGGACCCTGGGATCATGACCTGAGCTGAAGGCAGAGGCTTTAATCCACTGAGCCACCCAGGCACCCCAAGCTTTTCTCTTTTAGAAACAGTTCTCTTTTCTATTTTAGAAAAAGTAAAAAAGAATACTTTTAAACACTAATAGTATGTTAAAAGTTATCTGAGATTATCGTGTATGAATTTTAAGAATCGACTTTTTTCGTTCTCCACTATATACTCCATGAATTTCTATTCAGAAATGTTTAGCCTGTTTAAGTTGTGTATTGGGAGTCTTGGAAAAGAGGGTTTTTAAAATCTTACTGGTGTCATGGTTCATAACAGTGATTCTCAAAGTATGGTCTGGGGATTCCTAGAGCTCTTTGAGACTCTTGGGAAGTCCTTGAGATGAACATTACTGCCAGAATAATTCTAAGATGTTATTTTCTTTCTTTATTCTTACTCTCTTTTTAGTGTACAGTGGAATTTTCCACAGGGTTCAGGGCTTCATGATGTATATCATTGCAACAGCCTGAATACTAAAGCAGCTCTGAGAACCCAGCAGTATTCTATTAAACAAAACATTAAAGATATTTGCCAAAAGAAAAAAAAAAAAAGCCTTTTTACTTTGTTTTAGAAAAGATAGTTATTTTTTCATAAAAATATTTGTGTTAATATATAATGAATTTATTGCTACCTTTTAAATGATTTAGTAACTTTTTTAACATTCCTCAGTTTTAATTTCTAAAGCAGTAAATAGTGATAGCTATAGCCTTTAAACAATGTAGGGATCTCAATTTTTCATTGTGTTCAGGGCTTCTGATACTGAAAAAATTAAGACTCATTAGTTTAGAAAAAGATTGATGGAAAAATCTAAGCCCTTCCTTACATCCTTGTTCTTTAGGTCTCTTTTTAAAATATCATTCTTTGTTTTTTAGAGATCAAGGGACTTAGAGTTCTATTTCTGTCTCAGATTCTTCCCTGGAACTAAGAAGCTTGTCAGTCTTCCAAAAATAACAATTCTTTGTTTTTTCCTTTTTAGATTTGATGGTAGGGTGGTGGCAAAGCTCCCTTTCACCCCCCTTTCCTATATCCAAGGACTGTCTCATCGAAACCTCCTGGGGGATGACACCACAGACTGTTCCTTCATCTTTCTGTATATTCTCTGTACCATGTCAATTCGACAGGTGAGTGATCATATCCAGTCCTAAATACATACATTCCTCCTTGCTCTCACATCTATATTAGCCTTTACTTGTTTAACACTAGAAATGTTTTAGAATCCCAATGGATCCTCTAAAGCTGTTTTATTTTATTTATTTTATTTACTTATTTTAAAGATTGTATTCATTTATTTGACAGAGAGAGAGCCCAAGTAGGCAGAACAGCAGGCTGAGAGAGAAGGAGAAGCACTCTTGCCGCTGAGCAGAGAGCCCTACGCGGGGCCAGTCCCAGGACCCTGGGATCACAAATCTAAGCCGAAGGCAGACACTTAACCCACTGAGCCACCCAGGTGCCCCTCTAAAGCTGTCTCAAGTGTGTGTAGGTCTAGATTACCGATCCTTTGGGATGGGGAGTAGCCATAAAACCAAACACGGTTTTCATATCCCATCTTTAGAGCTCTTAGGTTCCTTCTTCGTCACAATCATCTAAAAATACAAAGTGAAGAGTGGGTTTGGGCTTCTCAGTATCATTTCTTTTTTTCCTCTTCCTTCTTATCTTTTTTTTTTTTTTTTTTTTTAAGATTTTATTTGAGAGAGAAGGAGGGAGGGAGAGCACAGAGGAGAGTTAGAGAGAGAACCAGACTCTGTGCTGAGCAGAGAGTCTGACGTGGGGCCCGATCCCAGGACCCTGAGATCATGACCTGAGCCAAAGGCAGACACGTGGCCAACTGAGCCACCCCAGGCACCCCAGTATCATTTCTTCTGCATTAGACTCCAGTGCCTTTTGTCACCTCAGGAACACAAATAAATGTAATAATTTGATGATTTTAGGTTATTCACAGTTGAGATACTCAAGGTTATGTCACAGAATTTGCATTTGGCCACCATGATTATCAGACATTTATAACGAAAAACAGTGAGAGCCAAGACAGAAGTCTAGATGGTTGGAAGAGCCCGGAAAGACACCTTCCATTTGATTAGTGGGGGAAGATTCAGGCAGAAAGGTTCAGAGAATGAAGTAGTTTTTGAAATAGGACTTTAAAAAATGAGAGGGGTTAATTAAAGTCTCTGGCTTAAGAACTTTCTGTATTTCTGTTTTTGAACACACTGCCATTCAGCAGGCATTGCCACCGGGGAGTTGGCATATGAGACTTCTGTTTCTTCTTCTTCTGAGTACTGCCAATGGCGGCAGATTTTTTTGGTTGGCCTGGCATGTGAGAATAAGTAAGAAATGGAAGTAGCAAAGATCTTCATGATCTTACTGCTTAGTGTTTTCCCCTCCTCATCCCTCATCCAGCACTCCAGCCATTCTTACTTGCCTGACGGTTTCCATGTCTCACTCACCCAGGCTGACTTTCTGCGATTGCTCTTCCTTCTGTCTGCCTGCCTCCCACCTCCTCCTTTTGTAGATTAAATACATCCAGGTCTCAAGACTTTCTGGCATTATTTTCTGACAATTAACTACTTTTTGAAGGATAGATGTGAGAGGAGCCTGACAGGGTGGGGAAATACCAGAAGACTCTCTGAATTGTCAAGCAAAAAAACCATTATGTTTTGAACTATTGCAGCGATGAAAGAGGGGGGTAAAGTTGAGACATACATGGAGGTAAAGCCCCAGAACTTAGAGAGAATGGAGGAACTAACAAGAGTCCCAGGTGTGGCTTTGGTGACCAGATGGAGGCTGGTCTCAGTAGTAGGAGTCAGGGAATAGAGGAACGGAGAGTCGGATGGTTCGAAGAGCTGTTGGCAATGTTCGTGGAGCAGCTCAGTGGGTCTGTCCACTGGAAGTCGTATTCTTGTGTAGCTGAGGTGTGTACTACACCGTTCCAGAATGCGTCTGTAGTGAAGCATTTCATTTAGTCTAACTCAACGTGAAAACCAAGACAATGACAACATAAATCTCTTTTGTTGGTTTAGCAGAAGTCTGTTGATTTCCAGAATATTGTTCTTAAATTTGATTATTTAAATCTGAAACTTTCAACTGCAGCTTATGTCCTATACTATTAAAACCCAATGATGTATACATTCTACTCTCAGCAACTACGACCAGTTCTACTTTAAGTCATATTTAGATACGACTACTCCATGTGATGGCTCACAGTCGTCATTCAGATGCACTATTTGCATTTGCATTGCTACCTAGAAATCCCTGTCTGAAACTGTAGAGTTTTTAAAATGAAATAAATGTTAAGAATGATCGTTGAAGGGGCGCCTGGGTGGCTCAGTGGGTTAAAGCCTCTGCCTTCGGCTCAGGTCATGATCCCAGGGTCCTGGGATCGAGCCCCGCATTGGGCTCTCTGCTCAGCAGGGAGCCTGCTTCCTCCTCTCTCTCTCTCTGCCTGCCTCTCTGCCTACTTGTGATCTCTGTCTGTCAAATAAATAAATAAAATCTTTAAAAAAAAAAAAAGAATGATCGTTGAGGAAGTTCAACTCAAGTTGGTCTTTAAATTCCTTTCTCTTATTTCAGAGAGTCTGGTGAAGTGTTTGTTTAGTAGTTAATTTTATCAGGAATGCTATGCTCATTTACCATGGTGGTCAGCAAATTTTTTGTTAAGGTCTGGATAGTAAATATTTGTGTATTTCCTTTTCAGGTCATACACTCTGTTGTAACCATTCAACTCTGCCATTGTAGTATGAGAACAGTCATAGACGGCATGTAAATGAACGAGCGTGGCTGTGTTCCAGGCAAAACTTTATTTACAAAACTAGGCCAGGGGCCAGCCATAGTTTGCTAATCCCTGAAGGTTCAGGCAAAGACTGTTGTAACTACTCAGCTCTGTCATTATACTATGAAAGCAGCCATAGACAATGTGTAAATGAGTATGACTGTATTCCAGTAAACCTTTATTTATAAAAACAGGCAGTGGACTAGCATGATATGCTAACCCCTGAGAACCATAGTGTACAATTTGTGCTATAAAGTTAAAATAGGAACAGTAGATTCTAGATTGGCACAGCTTAATAAAATAATTGCTTATTGAGTATAGAGAAAGGGAGGAAAGGAGCAGCAACCCCCCACCCCCGACACACACAGAGTCAATGTGTTTTGAGTCAGGAAGGATGCATACTCATAATTTTTACTTCTCCTTGTCCCATTCCATGCACTGATACTAATAAGAGAAAAATATGGAAGAGCTATAGGAGTGCGTAGCTAATATAAAAGTGTTGTATTTTAAAGATTTCTTTTGGTGTGCAGTTCTCTTCCCCAAGATCAGTGGTGATCCTAACTTGTTGCCGCGTCCTGAGTGTCAGTACTCATCTTGGGCGGTTAATTTTGTTACCCCAATTTTATTTTATTTTTTTAAGATTTTATTTACTTATTTGACAGAGATCACAAGTAGACAGAGAGGCAGGCAGAGAGAGAGGGAAGCAGGCTCCCTGCTGAGCAGAGAGCCCGATGTGGGGCTAAATCCCAGGACCCTGGGATCATGACCTGAGCCAAAGGCAGAGGCTTTAACCCACTGAGCCACCCAGGTGCCCCTGTTACCCCAATTTTAAACAAGGTATTTTAACATATTAAAAGTCTTAGAAAAATCACCAAAGTGACCTACTTTTATCATTTTTATTTTACCAGTTGCATGTTCTTTCTGTACCTGTTTGTCACTAATTGTTAGCATACGTACTAGAGGATTGTGAACTTCTATCCAGTCTGACATACCTTAGCACCTGAAATGTTACTATGAAAATTATGCTTCTCTCTTTGAATTAAAATGCTTGTTAATTGGCTATTTCCATGGGCTTTTTTGTTTTGTTTTGTTTACTTTTTAGGGTCTTAGGTTACGTGGTAATTGTGAAGGTGCCTATGAAATGAGCAGCTATAAAATAGGAGGCTTTCAGAAATTCAAATTATAGCCGTACTATGATTTCCCCAATGAAGCCATTCTTAGGCAAAAAAGTAGGCCACTTGGTTTCACATATATACTTGGCATAAAGTAGTTTTTTTTTTTTAAAAGATTTTATTTATTTATTTGACAGACAGAGATCACAAGTAGGCAGAGAGGCAGGCAGAGAGAGAGGAGAGGAAGCAGGCTCCCTGCTGAGCAGAGAGCCCGATGCGGGGCTTGATCCCAGGACCCTGGGATCATGACCTGAGCCGAAGGCAGAGGCTTTAACCTACTGAGCCACCCAGGCAGCCCCTGGCATAAAGTAGTTTTAAAGGAACGTAATGAATTGGCGGTTTTTGTTTGCTTGTTTGGGGATGTAAAGTAGAGTGAGTGATGGGGAAACCAATAGAGAATGACTCAAGTTTCCGTAATGATAGGTCATATTCCTCATTATATTATTGGAGTTTTTATCTGGTTTTGTCTACTTGTTATTTTTATCTATATTTTCTCCTTTCCTCTCCAGCTCTTTCAAGGTAATGATTTCTTAATTGTCTACGTATACTTTAAAGTACCTATGTACCTATGTATAGTACGTAGTATGTACCTGACAAGTATATGTCAAACGGATAGTAGATGCTACACCAAAATATAAATTTATAAACTTGGCAAACTGGGGCTATACCGTTTTTTATTCCCAAGAGCAAGATATGAAAATGCATGTTTCTGCCAACCTTGCCACAGAAATTTCTTTTGCGTTTTTACCCATCTGATAAGAATCGCTACCTCATGGTGGCTTTAATTTGCATTTTGGATTGAGCATCCCTGTTTGTCTCAGAGCTGTTCATAAACTCTTTTCTTTCTTTGGTGGCAAGAGACTGTGTATGCCTGTTGCCTATTTCTCTATTGGGTTGTTGGTCTTTTTTGAATTTCAAGCTCTTAGGTGGGAGATTAGCTTTCTCTGGGTGCTGTAAGTTGCATATAATTTTCCAGTTTGTCATTTGTGTTTCATTTGTACTTAATGGTGGTTTTTGCCACACAAAATTTTATTTACTGGATTTTTTTTTTCAGTCAGATTTGTCTTTTATGGCTTCTGGAATTTATTTATTTATTTAAGATTTTTATTTATTTATTTGACAGAGAGAAACACAGCAAGAGAGGGAACACAAGGGCGAGCGGGAGAGGGAGAAGCAGGCTTCCCGC